TATGCTTTTGACATCTCTTTGTTTACCTTAATTCTTTCAGGTGTAACTTTCAACAAAGACCTAAGTTGTCATTTTCAAACATAGGCAGTAATATCTGGAGATTACAGTGCCTGCAGGTAATAAGGAATTCTTCTGACATTTGATTTCCTTGTCAGAAGAATCTCAAAAAAAAAGGGGTCAGTTGAGAGTGAATAAATTTAAAAAGAGCTCCAAAGGAGAAGCATTTATTTATTTATTTATTTATTGCCTTCCCTTGAATATAAAGTAGGAGAGTTTCAGATTTCAGTGTTTGGAAAGTTTTTATGAGACATTATTGTCATTTTTATAGTATGGAATCTAGTATACTTTTCAAAAATTGCTTATTACTAGCATACATTTGGGCCTTACAAATGCCTAAAATCATAGTGATTATATTTCAAAATGCTGTCTTGTAAGATGGAGGCTTTCTATAGCTCACTAATATCAACAAGTTTGCAGTTATGAGTACAAGATACAGTCCCACTATAAACACCAAAGCAGACTTATAAGATATTAGTGTTGATTTCTTCCTAAAAGGTGTTGCTTTTTCCTAATCACGACTGTTCACTCCTTTCTCTTCTGATTGCCTCTTAAAAGTAGAACATGGCATATTGAACAGATAAAGATGTCCTTAGCCTTTGCTTCCCAAGGTAAGGCCAAGATGATTTAGGAGCTTATACCCGAGCAAACTGCTTAAAATGTATTAGTGCATTGGTTGTAGTTTGCATTAGAAAAAAATACAAAAGAAATCCTATAACAACATTTCACTTTAAAATACACTTACGTTTTATTTTGAGTAAGAGTTTTGTGTTTTGTTTTGTTTTGTTTTGTTTTTAGAGACAAGTAAGTAGCAATTCAGAGGACATTAAGACCAGGCAAAAACCCTATGGCTGGATGCAAATAGCTGAAGTCCAGGCAGAAAAGCATTGCTTTAGCACTGCCTTCTCTAATCCAACTCCAAAACATCAACTTCTTTAATATTGACTATGAAATAGGTATTATTGTGATGTCCTAGCAGTAAACATTTTTTGTTCATTAGGAAGCTACACATTTTCTGCCTAACTTTATAATACATAATTACTAACTACAAGAATCTAAAGTACACTTAAAGATCAAATTAATAATCTCATTTCATCTTGCAGGGGATTACTTTTTTTCTAATGTGCCTAGCGAGCTCATTAAAATTTGAACCCAAAGTGTCCTGACTCTCAGCTCTGCCACCACTCACCACCACTACCCAGAATCCTGGCTAGGAATAATTTGTCTCTGCAAAGAGCTTTTTCTAATACAGCCAGCTTCCAAAATCATTCTTCAGTTTCAGCCTACAATCACTAAATATTATAGTTGCAAATACAATAGCTTACAGAGCAGTATCACAAAGGCCTCTGTTCCTCAAAAGATTTTTAACTGAAAGATATGTGAATCAACAAGTATGTAAGAAAAATGCACCGGGCTTATCACAAAGACGAGGTTAGGACATCGCACACTACTGAGTTTTAAACCTCAAAGGGTGTTAGCTTATTTTTGCTAATACTCCAATAAGTTTAAAAAAAAATCAGAAAACTCCACCAAATTTTCAAAAACTAAAATAAGTGTAGATGACTGCAAATTACAAGCCTACAAAGCAGGTTTCTGTATGAGACGCCCCAATCAGGACTAAAATCAAGGTAACAAAAACTTTCAAATAAAGGCTAGAAGTAATTAAGGAAAGAAGACGGCAATAAATAACTGATTTTAGAAGCAACATTGGAAGCTAAAAATAAAAATACTTCAGAATTGAAAGTGGCTACTCAAAAATGTATCTTGCCCGTCTAAGTTGCAGGATGTCTTGGTCAAGGGTTCTGAAGCCAGGGTCTTGCTTGCAGTGGGGTATAGAGGAGCAAAGACAGAATTGAAACCTAAACATCCCAATGGGTTATTATATCTGTTTATACTCCAAGAAACTCCTTCTCACATCCTTAAAAGGCAAGCTGCTGAGGAGGGACAGAATTAGAGGAGAGGTTGTTTTTAATCCAGGGGTAAGTAAGGCCTTGGACATCCTTACTTTTGCCCTGGAGGTGACCCGGGGACAGCCTTCTGCTTAGGGTCATTCAGTCACAGGAAGTCATGCAAAAGGCTTGAGTTGTTTGTTTATTTGTTTGTTTGGGGAATGGAGGTTGAATGGAGAAAAGCAAAGCCCAGGAGACTTTAGCACCACCAGCACCAGATCCTATCTGTTCTTGCCCCTTCTTCCTGCTCCCTGAAGGTCTTTCACAGGTCAGCGGGCTCCCTGCCTGCTGCTCTCCTCAAGGGGATCAGTGTTGGAGTCAGTGTTGGGGGGGAGGGTGAAGAGGGGGGAGAGGAGGGAGGAATCACCACCCAGCCCCACACTCACACAGATCATCAACTTCACACACAGCTGCTTCCAACAGGAGACATGTGGTAGGAAAGGCTTCTTCTGTGTTTGTTTTTTTATTATTTTATTTTTTTATTAAAGAAATGGAATAAATAGCCCTAGCCGGTTTGGCTCACTGGATAGAGCATAGGCCTGTGGGCCACAGGTCCTGGGTTCGATTCTGGTCAAGGGCACCTACTTGGTTGCAGGCTCCCCCTCAGGCCAGAAGCCTGGTCAGGGCTCCTGCAGGAGGCAACCAATTGACATGTTTCTGTCACATCGATGTTTCTCTCTGTATTTTCCTCTCTTCCACTCTCCCTAATAATCAATGGAAAATATATTATTGGCTGAGGATTAAAAAAAATGAAATCTATAAAAAAGAACTTTGAGACATGCAGAAAAGAGAGAGAAGAAATTGGATAGGTTACTTAACCTCTCTGGGTTTCAGTTTGTTCATCTATAAAATGGGTGAGTGGACCTAAAGGCCTTCACCTAACCCTACCAATCTCTGTTTCTCCGGGAGGGGAGGGGGCTGTGAAAAGTGGGCACAAGACAGAGCAATCACCTTGGCTACTTGTGCTGGTGACTGGCACTTCCCAGGGCAAGAAGGTCCTTTCTGGGGATAGTCCCAGTGACATTTGGAAAGAAGTTGGTGGTGTTTGTCTGTAGCCTTAGTGTTCCCACCCCAAACCCCCACAGCACCTCTCTCTCTCTCTCTCTCTCTCTCTCTCTCTCTCTCTCTCTCTCCCCCCCCCCCCCCTTTTCCTTTCAAAGGGAATTGTTTGTGATTGAACTTGTGGAAGCACACATAGCTCTGCGGAACTAGTTAGGAAAGTCAATATGCAATTATGCAAAAATCTATACCAGGTTCCCTAGGAAGCAGGAGGCAGCCCTGGGGAATAAAGGGCCGTTTCCCCTTCCCTGGGGAGGCCGCTTCCCTGTGTCCCGGTGGTGGGCAGGGCCGGACCAGGTTCCCTCTGATCCGTGTCCCCGACTTGGTCTCCTTTCCTGCCACTTGCCACCTCCTTTCCCCGCTCTCCGTTTCTGTCACTGTTACTCCGAGTCTCCTTTCCTTCTCCTCCCAGCCTCTCTCCTCTCTCCCCCCGTCACCCCCGGCCGCCCCGCCGTGGTCCCTGCTCCGGGAGGTGGGAGCGCGGGGCGCGGAGGGAGCGGGGCCGCTGCGGGGAGGCCGGGCCGGGGCGTCTCCACCCGCCGCCGCCACCGGGATCCCCGGGGGAGACCCACCGCCGGCCCCCACGGGGGCTCCCGCGGCTTCTGGTCCCACCAGCGCCCCCGAAATAGTAACTGCACCCACAAACGCGCGCTTGTTCCAGTCCTCACCGGGGGCCGCCGCGGCCGGAGGGAGGGGGCATTGGGGGGCCCGGGTCCCCAAAGACTCCCGCGCCCCAAACCGGCCGGCGGGGCACCCCTGGGCCCGGAGGAGAAGGCAGCGGGGAGTGGGCGGCACCCCGGGCTCAGGGCCACCCGGCGGGGAAGAGCCGGCAGGTCATGGAGGCGAGGAGCTTCCAGAGCTGGGCTGAGAGGCGAGCGGGGTGAGCCGGAGGGAGCCCCGAGTCCAGACGGGAGGAAGGCGCCCTCGGGTGCTCGGCCCCAAGAAGCTGAAGACCGAGCCGGCGTCCCCGAGCAGCGGCGCCCTCTCCGCCCAGCGGCTCTCCGAGTCCGCGCTGCACCCCGCGCCGGCCGGCTGGGCCCGCTCCGTCCCGCAGAGGCCGAACCCCAAAGAGAAGATGGGGTGTTCTCAAAATTGGCGGGAGACGGGGCACCGGCTGGAGAGAGGGCTTTTCATCATTCAATCTTTCCAGATATTTCGGGGTCCCCGGGGAGGTTCACGTTCCTCCAAACCACCCCCCCCCCACGCCCAGCCAGGTGTGAGCAGAGCCCGAGGTCCCCACCCGGGGGTGGTGGGTGAATCCCGCCCGGACCCCTTTCAGGTCCGGGAAGTTGGCGCCTGGGATGGGGTGCAGGCAGGACCTGCCTTTAGGGGGCTCTGCGCGCGGGGACCTGGGACCCCGACATGCATGGCACCCCGACATGCATGGGCGACAGGGACAGCCCAGCTAAAGGGTCTGCTGCGCAAAGACCCCCGAAGCGGCATCCAATCTGCCAAGCGCTGAAGTTGTCCTGCCAGGAGCGCGCCAAAGCAGGGGCGCCCCTCCGGGCTGTGGCTCAGCTGCGAACCGATTTGTTTGCGGTTCTCAGAGTCGACTTCTCCATGTTAGTTATACATTTTCCAATGGTCCCTTTCTCGAATAAATCGCCTGGATGCGGGGGGGGGGGGGGGGGGGGGGGGGGTCATGATTTTTAGCAAGTATAACCACAGGCTGACGTTAATTGTTTGACAAAGATATGGAAAGATGATATTGACTTTTCATTTTTAAATAAGGACAGGGAACACTGTTTTCAGATACCCACCAGGAGATAGCTCCTCAGCAGGCGTCCTCCGGCTCCTGGCCCTTTTCTTCGCTGGGTCTGTGGCTACCAGAATGCTTGCTGAGCTGCGGATGCTCTTCTCATTCATTAGCTAGCTCAATGAAATGTTAACATGTTTATTTTTCAATAATCAGTATGGTTTTTGTTTTTTTTTCCCCCTGAAGGTTTTCACAAAATATGCCCCTTTATCCAGTGGAACGTGAATGTGTACCATGACCAGTCTGGCCCATCCTGTTGCTTCAAAGATAAATGTTAGGACTTTGGTGACCAGAAAACCTTCTGCAGGTCTCAGGACTTCCACTATCCGCTTAGGATGTATCAGGCGTGTGAGAACTGGTAATTGGTTCCCGTTTCCCCATAAGACTTTTCTACATTTTCTAGCTATGGTTAGGAGGGCCTTGTGATCCAAACAGCATCTCATTAAATAACCTTTCACAGTCCAGTTGATGATGCTCCAGTTAAAGAGACATGGCCCACCACCCCCCCCCCCCCCCCCCCACACACACACACTGCAGCACAACTGAAAGCATCCTGGGGTTTTTGTTTGTTTGTTTGTTTGTTTTACTCTGCAACATAAGCAATCTCCCTGCTTTCAGGAGTCTACATCAGCCCAAATCCTCTGCCATATCTATATTTAATACACTATGTTAATGTCATTCTGACACAATGCCACACCATTTGAAGCAGACCATTGAAGTGTACTTATGCATCAAGAAAATGTCCTAAAGCTGCCTCCTTTCCACTATTAGGTTATTATTAAAAGGCACCCCAATAACTAGCCATTTGCTATTAAGTTATTAAAATTCAACAGGGAATTTTAACTTCAGAAAAGCAGATGGGCTGTTTTAAGAGTCTTGTACCCAAGTCTATGTCTCTTGCACCAAAATCAGCTTGACTCCTCTATATGACGTTGGTATTGGGCTTTGTTTATATTTTTCTTACATAAAATCAAGTCTGTATGGTAATTGTGGTTATTCAGAAACTATGTCAATATCAGAGGTCAAAGTTAGCTCCATGCATTTTTTTGTATGAAGCTTGCATAATACTAGGGCTCTTTAAATATTTTTGAAATCATAACCAAAATGTATATAATGTTTTTACATGTTTAAGAGAACATCAAACAGCCTCTGCTACATAAAAGCATCTGACTGTGAATTTCACCCTCACTTTTTCCCACATGTGGTCTCCAAGTGAAAACAGTAATGTTTCATGTTTTTAATCCAAGATTGCCAAAAAAATAGCTGCACTAAAATTTTTCTAATTACCAATTTCATTTCTCCCCTCACCAAAGTACTCTTCTGGATTATTGAACAATATCATGTTCCAAATTCCAGGAATTAACCTGTACATTCTGGATTACCTAGGTAGTAGATACATGTAACTTGACTGTCAAGCCAATTCACACGGAGAGCCAAGTAACCACCAATAATTTTTTCAGAGATGCTAAGCTTGTCCCAACATCTTTCTTTCTCTTTCCAAGCCAACACACACACACACACACACACACACACACACACACACACACACACATATACAGGACTGTATAAAATCTAGATTTAGCCTTGTGCCTTAATCAAGTGGTTGAGGCATGCCTATCGTTAATATAATGTCCTAAATTTGGATTTGAAGAAGTCACAAGACCTGTACTCTGAGTCTAAATTAGGTCGCATGTCCTCTCTTATTATTTCCCAATAGCAGGTCACATCCCCCTCCCACCCACTCCCCACCCCCAATGCTGGACAAGAGAAAAGTTTAAATCATAGAGCTGTAGTTTTTCCATTGTCCAGTAGACGGCACAAAAGATCAAGCCTTCAAATGCTGAACAATCCACCAACGCTGTTTGTTTGACTTAGTTTGGAGTGTGTTTGGCTATATTGTTCATTTTAAACAGCCAGCCAGCCAGCCAGCCAGCCAGCCAGTGTTGTATCTGTGAAGCAAAGAAGTATCTCAAACTTGAGATAACTCACCAAGGTTTTGAAAGGAAGTAATAAAAAAAAGTTTTCATATTTACACAACAAAATGCTGCTTCAAATAATGCACCTTTACAAGTGAGGAGTTCATAGGGAAGTATGGTTGAGAATTTATTTAACAGTTACCTTTAAAGAAATTAAACTGACATAAATTACAAGGCATTTCATTTTTAATTATCTTCTAGTGGCTAAAGAAAATATTTACAATATTAACCTTAAAAATTATAAGTTGGAATTCTGCATGATGCAGCTATGCTATGCTTTTTTATTAAAATTAGCATGTAACTCAATCCAGAGAAGGAAGCATTGTATTTCAAATGGACTTAGATATGCATGAATATATAATATGCAGCTGAGAAGGGGAAGAAATTCTCTAAAAGTTTTGTGAATAGCTTTTGGAGGATAATACTGGAGGATGAAGCCATTAGACGTGGTTGAAACTTTGCCTCTCCTAAAACAATGCGTGACTTTGGCTAACATTTATATTTTACTAAAAGGCTTCTATTTCCCCTTTCATTCTGCAGACACTCTTTCCGTAGAACTGGGGGGAGGGCAAAGTGTGGGCTAATAACTCATTTCCCAGTTAATTTTATAAAGAATTTATAGCACTGTTTAGAAAGTTTTAAGACAACCATAAATTTTATTAGGAATATTTTATTAAGCCCTCCATTTAATTAATAAAAGACCTCTATAACTTCTGAAAATGTCAGAGCTAGTAATTATGTTAACCAGTGTAATTTCCCCCCCTCTAGAGACCAAAGCGTTTTAATGATTTGAAATAGAAAGATAGTAAGGAAAACACACCCCCACCCACCCACCACCCTACCCACCCCCACTACCACCTTCATTTCTTAACTTTTGCATTATCCAGTCAGACTATAGTCACAGGTATTTTCCTGTGGACAGTGGGAGAGCCTAAGCTGACCTCTCATTGACTTCTGAACTGGTCCCAGACATTCTTGGTTCTCTGAAGCAAAATGCAGTAAACAAATCCCCCAGCCCTTACAGCTTTAGGGCACTTGATTAACGTCTTTCCTAATCCCCTCGGTTAACCCCCCTTTCATATCACCTAACCGAGTTTCTCCATTTTATAGACCTCTAAATAGTTTATTTCGCTTTCCTCGAAGCCATTCATTAGCTTTGACTGCTTGGTACCTTTCCCCTATCACATCCAGCCTCTTATCTTCAGCATTCCTCTATTATCTCTACTAGATTTTAAATCTATTTTCTTTAAACTGTCCTCCCCGCCCCTGAGTTCTGTTTTTTTGAAGTGGAAATGCTAATGCGGGGGTGAGATGGGGAGGATGAAAGTTCTTGAAGTCCTGGGATCCCCAAGCCACTGCACCCCGGGACAACCAAAAGCCCCAAGAGCGATCCGAAGTTTCACAGGCAGCTAAAAGTTAGGTGCCGGATGATAAACCCTTATCATTCTGTGAACACAGCTGCCAAACTCGATTGATTAGCAGGCTTTTGTTTATTCTGGGCTGGCAAATACACACACATTTTACCTTAAGAGTTGCCTCTTTAAATTTCTGTGGCGTATGGAGTCGATGCATTAAGTGTGAACTTTTGGGGACAAAAGCCTGCTTCAGGATAGAGATCTGAAGTAGGCACAATTCCTTCTAGAAGAACAGAAAACGAGAAGGGAGTTTGCAGTGAGGACTGTACCAACAGCCTAAAGGGACAACACCTACTTTAAATGCCTTCTGGCAGGAGTTTGTAAACAATAGAGACCTAGGCCCCAGCCTGCCTCTTTAAAGTCCCCCTTCTCTGCATTTGGGAGGATATTCTGGGCTGGGAAGGAAAAGCTGACTCTGGAAGGCCCAAGTGCAAGAACCAGGGGCAAGTGTCAGAACCCTTCACTAAGCCAAGCTCTCCCAAGATAAAAGTGCGATTGCCTTAAAAACCAAGTGTTTGAAATACGCTAAGGATGCATGCTGTCCCATCACAGGTATCAATGTGGATGGTCCTTTACTACAACCATCCCTTTACCTTTTCCTCTTAATAGGTGATTAATTGCTGCTCTACTACAGCAGGGTTTGTTTTTTTTTCTTTTTATGGCTACTAGATTGCAACTCTAGATGTCCGCTGCGCAATTTCTCTCAGCAAGCCCCGACTGTAATAACTGTTTGCTAATTGTAAAATCCTTATCCAGAACGAGGTTTGGGCAAACAATTTGTACTACTGTAATTACACTGTAAAAGTGTTTTAGTCCCCTGATGGTTCCGAATTAATCTTATAAAGGCCTAAGTTTACAGTTATAAATGGAAAGGTGGGGGGGGGGGGAAGAAAGAAGACACTTTTCAAAACTAGTAAGTTTACTTTAAGCCCACACACAAACTATTTCTTTAAGAGAAAAAAAATCCGTGTGTAGGTATTTTAAAGTGCATTTCTAAAGTAACCTGACACATCATGGCAAAATAGTCTTCCTAAAGTTTTTGAAATGTTTGGTTTGTTTGAAAAGGAGTGACTTACCTGAACCTTCTTTTTTTTTTTCACCTCTGCTAGAAAACAAAAGAAAACATTTACCAGAAAGCAACAATAAAAAAGTTAAGTGTGTGTATGTATCCCTAAACTGGCCTTTTCCAAATCTGAGAATGTGGCTGCAGAGTTGAGGTAACTCCAAGCTGGTTACCTAAGGCTTGCCTGAGAACCCCTAGGGCTGTTAAAAGTCTACAGTCATCGAAATGCATTTCGCAGGAAATTTCTCCGAGTTAAAGTATACTTACACCATTTTCCTCACACTTCATTTAAAGATCATAAACGTAGATTCGCCCAAGTCAAGGTTTGGCTTGACACCCCCTCCCCTGGCTTCCCCCTACAGCCAGCCAGGGGCGCGGATGCCTGGCGGGCCTGCTCCTACCCCTGCGAGCCGAGCCGCCTTCCCCAGGCGCCCAGGTATCCGCCCAGGCCGCTGGGCAGGGGTTCGGGGAAGGGCTTGCAGGCCGCCGGCCCAGTCCGGGTCTCTCCGCAATCCTAAAAGGATTGTGTTGCCTGCTCAGCCAGCGCAGTTCCCCGAGAAATAAACAGAGAAATAGCCTTCCTGAGACCCAGAGGTTCCATCTGGGCCTGAAATTCTGTGTGCAGGGTCTCAGGGGGCTGGGGGGGATGGCAGGCAGGGGAGGGCATCATTGCGCTGCTGGTCAGGCACCTAGACCCCTTGGCTTTGGCACTGGGGCCTACCTTCACCTCCTGCTGCTTGTGATGTGCCTTTGGCGGGGCGTTTGTGCCAGAAAATTCTATACATGTTGGCGATGGAGAAAAGTACAAGACCCTAAAACGAGAGAGGGAGAGAGGGGAAGAGAGAGAGAGGGAGGGAGGGAGGGAGGGAGGGAGGGAGGGAGGGAGGGAGGGAGGGAGGAGAGAGAGAGAGAGAGAGAGAGAGAGAGAGAGAGGAGAGAGAGAGAGAGAGAGAGAGAGAGAGAGAAGGGACTGGACTCTGGGGGCCAGGGTTTAAACACTCGGATGTCTTTGAAGGCAAAGCGCATCTGGGGCTCTGGGACGAGAACAGCGAGGAGCCACTGGGGTGCGGGGAGCCGGGAAACTCAGCTGCTGGGCTTTGTGGGAACCCCACTGTCCACTGCTGGGGGAACGGGGCAGCCTGGCGCCCAGGACTGAAAGCAGCCATAGACATCGCTCAGGGAAGCTGCGTGCGCTCCTCGGTGGGACCTGATTCCAGATCTCTGGTCTGATGCTCGCCGTGTCCCCTGCGCCTCCAGAGCCCACGTAACAGACGCTCGAGCCCTGCCTCGCGGACTGAAGCAAATTCTCTTTTTAGTTTGAGCTCGTAAAGAGTTTGGCCTCCATACGTTTTAGAGCTTCTAACCTTTTCCAAACCATCTCTGGGACAGGAACCCCCTCATCTATCTCAACTCTTCCCTCTAACAATGCCCTCCCCCCCACACACCCTCCAGATTGGGGTGGGGTTTGGGTGTGCAGCTGGCAGGGTGGGTCGGGCTGGGGGCGGTGGGCGAGAGGCTGGCTGCTTTGGGGGAGTCAGCCTTTTAGCCTCCATCATCAGGGCGGGAATCCCGACTGGCAGTTTTGCATTCCGGGCAGATCGAAGCTCCCTGCTGATCGATTATTTGATAATTGATTTTCCCCGCAGCCAATGCGGGGCCGTCCTGGCGGGAACGCCTCCTGATTGGCCGAGCCTTCCTCTACCGCTGCCTACCGAGATTTGGGTGAGTTCATTTTCCAGCCGGCCGCAGGGGGAGTTTTCTGCGAGGCTTCAGCTGCAGGGAGGGGGAGAGGATCCTGCTCCGAGCCGAGCGAGCTGCGAGCCCAGCTTGGAAATGTGAGGCTTCCAGCCCACGGGGGTGAGCTGCTGAGGCTTGAGCCTTTTCGGCACATCAGAGTCGGGCCGGCTGGAAAAAAAAACAAAACCACACACACAAACGAACATAACATCACCAAATGCAATCAAGGGCAAGCTTAGAGTGGGAGAATAAAGAAAAGGGATTTTTTTTTAAGCCTGAGAATAGACATTGAAAGGGAGAGAGTAAAAAAATCAGTGGCTGGGTTGTAGCCTCCGAGTTGAGCCTTTTTGTCTGGAAGCTCAGCTTTGGATGGGGATGACTCTGGCGCTGGGAGTTTCCCCGAGCCGGGCTGGAGACGGGAAAGCGGAGTGGGGGGTGAGATGGGGAGAAGAAGGGGCTGCGGAGAGAGCCAGGAGACGCCAGGGGAAAGCTTGAGGGCGCCGGGTCCCTTCAGGCCCGAGCACGGCTCCAGCCGGAGCCCCGCGGCGCCTCAAAGACAAAGGCGGACTCCGCCGCAGTCCCCGCCGAGCGCGCCGGCCCCGCCGCCCGCGCCGCGCCCCGGGCGCACGGCCGCTCCGCCCGGAGAGGGTCGAGCAGGAGCCGCCCTCCCCGCCGCGCCGGGGCCCGGCTCCGCCCGCCTGGTCCGGGCTGCCCCGAGCCCGCGTCGGGTTTCGCTTTCCGGCGATCGTAAATAGCTGGGTGTTTGTAAACAGGCGCTGGGGCACATTCCCGGCTCTGAGCTCATTGTTCCCTCCCTTCCTCTCTCACTCCGCGCAGGGCTCCGGGGCTGGGGTGAGGGGTGTCTCCGGAGCTAGGAGGTGATGGGCGTCCAGACCCCCAAAGTGAGAAAATGCAAGCATTTCCTCTCCTTGGACCGAGTGTCTATCTCTGACAGCAAAAAAACAAAAACAAAAAAACCCCCAAAAAACTCTGAAGCCGGATCTGCAGACAGCCCCAGCCACATCCCCACCCCACCGTTCCCGGGACTCCTTTCGCAGAGCCTTTCCCAGCCTGGCTCCCGCTCCCGCTCCTCCTCCTCCCCGCTCGCTCCCCTCTCGACTTTCCGACTCAGGAGTCTTTTCGTTCCGAGAACCCGGGACTTCCCTCCTCACCCCCTTCCGCCCCGAAAAAACCACTGGCAGACCCCGATCCTTTCGAGGAAAGTCCTGAAGTCCAATGCGCGGAGCCCCATGCAACATAAACTCCCGCCACTGCCTCTGCCTCCTCTGCCTTGCCCCGCATGTATTCCCGGTTTATTTTCAAGCAGCGGCTTTGGGGAGAGAGAGGAGAGAGAGAGAGAGAGAGAGAGGAGAGAGAGAGTCTGGAGGGGGAGGAGGAGGGAGGGGAAAGAATACGGGAAGATAAAGCCGGCGGCCGGGCTCCGCTGGCCGCCGCTCCGCGCGCGGGTGCCCGGGGGGTGCGGGTGCCGGTGCCCGGGAGCGCGGTGTCAGGGAGCGAGCGCCTCCCCGCCTCCGCGGCGCGGCCGGAGCTCGCCTCGCGCACCCACCCCTGCCGCGGAGCCGACTTGCTGCAGCCCAGTGCATTGTGTAAGACGCGACCTGTTATGGCCACCACTACTTCCGGGTTCTAGCATTCTGGTCGGAATCCACCTCTCCGCCCGTGCAACACACACTTTACACACGCACGGGGACTGCGAGCGGGCAGCATCGATTGTGGCTCCTTTAAGACAAACTCAGACAGACATTTTTTTTTTTTTTTTGCAACCCTCCTCCTCTAATCTCCCTCCAGTGCAGCAGTTGCAAAGAGGGAGAGGGAGAGGAGAGAGAGAGAGAGAAAGAGAAAGAGAGCGAGCGAGCGAGAGAGAGAGAGAGAGAGAGAGAGAGAGAAGAGAGAAGAGAGAAACTGATTAGGAATTAGGACCGATTCTAGGGAAGCGAGCAGCGCTAGGGCTTTTGTGCATTTGAATATGAACATTTGAGGTGTTCTGACCAGAAGAAGACAGAGCGGATGATCATTCATTCACCACGTTGACAACCTCGCCTGTGATTGACAGCCGGAGTGGCAGAAAGCCATGAGATTTGGTAGTTGGGTCTGAGGGGCGCTGGCTTTTTTTTTTTTTTTTTAACTGATTTTTTGGGGGGGAGAAAAGATCTGCTTTTTTTTTTTCCTTTTTTTTCCTTTTTTTTTTTTTCCTTTTTTTTTTTTTTTCTTGCCCCCGCTGCTGTCTTGGAAACGGAGCGCTTTTATGCTCAGTGACTGGGGCGCTTTGCTTCAGGTCCCGTAGACCGAAGATCTGGGACGAATAGCTCACGTTGCTGGAGACGCTAAGGGATTTTTCGTCCTGCTTTTACATTATTTTTTTTTTCTCCGGGGGAGTTTGCGTATTTGTTTCCTTTCACACTGGCCTTAAAGAGGATATATTAGAAGTTGAAGTAGGAAGGGAGCAGGGAGGCCGATGGCGCAAAGGGTACGTATTAAAAAAAAAAACGACAATTGTGGAACTCAAATGTGAAATTAAATTGAAACGTGTCTGAAAGACATTGCTAAAAAGTTTCCTTTTTTTTTTTTTTTTTCCTCTCTGTCTTTCTGAATGAGGCTCCTAAAGCCATGGCCTAAAGCTGGAGTATTTATTCTATGCGTTTGTGAACTTATGTATGTTACATGTTAATTCGAATAATCAAGTTTTCTGTAGATTCCTAACCAGCATGTATATATGTATAAATAAAAATACAAGCTGGGGCAATCACCTGGTTAAAAAAATAAAAAAAAACAAAAACAAAAAATGCTAGATAGCTAATGCTATCTGAGCGTTCAGAGAGCAAAAGTTTAGAGCTTTTTAAAAACTAAAAGAGACAGCTAGAAACTTCTGCTATGTTATTGATTATGTTCATCTTTAATACCATTAGAAACATTTAGCTATTTAAAGCCAATAACTTTGTCATAGTACAACTTATTGGGGGTCTAGAAGCATTCATCTTTGAAAAAAAAAGTAATTTTAATGTGCATGGATTTTTATGCAAGGTAAGCCTTAGAAAGTTTATCTTAGACAGCCCTGCACTAATTGGATACTTAGCACACAGCTACTCACTTTTAAAATGCAATACTAATTTCCCCAATATTCCTATTTGAATGGAAATGTAGTGAGAGTAAAGTGAGACAATGACAACCCAACTGAGGTAGTTTCTGAAGAGAAAGAGGGTCTGCAGAAAGCCTTCCTTGCATAATTTGTGTCCTGGCCCTCAAAGCCCTGTTTGCAAAAGAAAGTTACTAGGCTGACACTTTTTTTTTTTTTTTCTCTCCTTTGGTTCAGGCAAATGTCAGCGTTCCTTCCAAACTCCTTTCACACCTCTGGCTCTGAGGAGATGAAAGTGGCAATTCCTCTTTTCTTTGAAAATCATTTCACTCTCCACGCCTTCCAATCTTGAGGGGGAAAACGCTTGCCTGGAATGAACCAATGAGAAAAAAAAAATCTAAATAGCTAAATTTTGCCCTCAAAAATAGTGACAATCGATCTGAAAGTAGTGTTTCTAGAGGAGGAAGATGGTAGGTTGTATGTGCATTTGCTACTGAATTTGCTTTCAACCTGAGGAGTACCATTTGCCTTGTTAACTTCTAGTCTCGGAGAAACTTCTTAAGGCTAGAAAAATAGAATAACTAACTGTTCCAACAACAGATTTCCTTGACTACTCCATTGGGGTGGAAATCACCTGATTCTAAATTCAGCTGTAAGGTACAAGAAAAACTCCCCTTCTCCGAGTTTCACTGATAAGGGGGCCAGTTAGTTTTGTATAATAATTTAGCAGTTTGTCTTGGAAAGCAGAGGACATGCAGTGTCTTACAGGACTGCCTAACCTCTTGCTGGCAGGGAAATAAAGGAAGGAGCCTGTCTGAATTCACGTGCTTGGTGTAGCTGTCCCCATCCTAAACTTTTTTTTTTTTTTTTTTTTTAATTCCCTCTGATGAGAAGGGGCTGTGAAACGAGGCGGGCTTGCTGCCCTGTCCTGGCACGTTTTATTATTGTGATTTTGCGTTTCCTCCTATGGAGACAGGCATGGTTTACCTTCCACCCTCCGGGAGAGAGAAGCCTCCCTTTCTTTCCTTCCTTTCTTGCTACAGGATTCTGAATTTCTGAATTAGTTGCTAGGGACACAAGTGAGGGCATGACCATTCACCCTAGCCGGGTTTCACCGAGAATCCTAGAATTTTTACTTAAAAAAATCTTTTAGATTTAATTAAAAAAAAAAAACCTCAGCTTTTAGAGATGCAAGGCCACCGAAGTCGAGGTTGAATGATCCCGCTGGACTGACATTATAGAAGCTCCCTGCCCTGCCGGTCGGTCCCCCCTTAGCCCGCCTGGCCTTCTGAACCTTGTTTCTCTCCTGTGTGTCATGCAGTACGATGATCTGCCCCATTACGGGGGCATGGATGGCGTAGGTATCCCCTCCACGATGTACGGGGACCCGCATGCGGCCAGATCCATGCAGCCGGTCCACCACCTGAACCATGGGCCTCCTCTGCACTCTCATCAGTACCCGCACACAGCTCACACCAACGCCATGGCCCCCAGCATGGGTTCCTCCGTCAACGACGCGTTAAAGAGAGATAAAGATGCCATTTACGGGTAGGTACAACTGGCAGCAGGTTACATAGCCGAGCCGCGGTGCTAACCCTGTTTCCCTTCGCCCTCGGTCAGGGGAAAGCCAGAGCTCTCGGGACTGGAGATACGGTGGTACTGGGTGACTTTTCATTCGCATTGCATGGAGAATGTGGGAGGCTGCCCCGCCATCCAGGACGCCCCCCTCACCCTGCACGCTCCGCCACCGCTGCCCAGCATCTGGGTCTGCCCAGGGAAGGGGTCGCCCGGCAGGAGAAACTGCCCAGGGGTCCCTCTTGCTCTCTCCGAGGGTTGGTGTCCCGGCTGGAAGCTCTGTTCTGGGAAAAGCGTTGGGGGTTTGCTAACTGTAGGCGCCTTTGTGTGGGAAGGAAACTTTTAGTTTCAGGGAAAATCTTTTAAGCCACGGATTGTCCTGACTTGCTAAGTTTACTCAGCAGCCCTGTGCTGGCTCTGCCACCGCACAATGAAACGCAGGGAGGACGGTGGCAGGTCAGGCAAAGGGAACCAGCTTTGCATTTAGAAAGTTTGAGCAGGTAGCCGAGGCAGTCCCAGAGAGGAGCTCCGTCTGAATGGTTGCAGGCATTAGGAAACTCCTAGCCGCTGTAAGACTTTGGGATCCGAGGTGAAACCTGCAGGAAGTAGAAGCAGAGATGCGGGGTGCTACGGGCCCGGGCCCTGTTGTTTTCTGATTGCAGTTCCCACCGTTTTTTTCTGCTGGCCATTCCATCCGACAGCGGGCTGGTGAAATCCTTTGAAAGAGACTTGTGCCTACTGAGTGCTGGTGAATGTGGGGGCCTCTTTTTTGACTTTGCGGCAACTTTTACTGCATCTATTTACAAAAATTAAAAAAAAAAAAGGATCATGCAACACTGACCCTCCCCGGCTGCACAGCCGCTCTGCTTTATTTTTCTGGTCCCTTGTGCCACGGGCTGGTTTAAATCCCAGCGTCCTCTCCGCAGCAGCATTCCCTGCAAATGGTTTAGGCTCCGGGGACAGGACATTTGGGGAAGCTTTCAAAAGGACCCCAAGCTGTTACATTCCCAGCTGGCCTGTGAGAGCTCATAAAAGACTCGGGACACCTCCTTGGGCATGAGGAGACGCTTTTTCCCCCTTTCCTTTATGGGCTGAGATAAGCGACATCTAGGCCCCTCGCAGTCCCAGCTGCCTGGCCATGCCGCAGAGACAAAACGAAAGGCTTTCTGGCTCTCCAGCGCGACCATGGGCTGGAACTTTCTTTGGGAGGGGTGGTGGGGGTGATCGGCGAAGGCACCGGCGATGTGCAGGGAGCCGAGGAGGCGCCTCCTGGCTCTCCGAGGGCTCCCCGGGGTGGGGATCCGAAGGTGCAGCCCCCTGACAGCCGGTCCCCCAAGCCTTGGAGGTCCTTTTCCCAAGTTAACTGAGCGCCGGGCACTGAGATCCCCAGCCCGGGCTGTGCCAGGCCGCCTCGGAGGAGCCCATGGGAACGAGCTCTCCCAGCCCCTGTGCCCGGCGCCCCCCTCAGGCTCCGGGTCCTGGATGTGCAGCCGAGGGGACCGGGCCGGTCGAGTGGGAAACTTCATTCAAAATGGCTGCTGGAACCCGCTTGGGTTTTTATTCTCAGCAAATGTTCCCAATTTCTCCGGCCAGATAAGCTGAACCGATCCTCAGATACGGTTCTGTCCGTGGCGCAGGGCCTCCCAACTCCGGGGCCCTGAGAGGAAGGGGAGGTGAGCGGTCACCTGGGTGGGGGGTAGGGGGGAAGGAAAAAAGTAGATGACAAAAACCAGGGAGGGGGTCCCTGCCTCCAGCTCCTCCGGCTGCTTTGCTTGGGCGCCCTTTTTCCCTTCCCCTGACTCGGGACTAACCATTGTGTTGTTTGTGACTGTTGTATTTTCTTGCAGACACCCCCTCTTCCCTCTCTTAGCACTGATTTTTGAGAAATGTGAATTAGCTACTTGTACCCCCCGAGAGCCAGGGGTGGCGGGCGGGGACGTCTGCTCGTCAGAGTCATTCAATGAAGATATAGCCGTGTTCGCCAAACAGGTCAGCAAAATAAATGTTTAAAAAGTAAAGGGGGAGAAAAAGGGGGACCTCCCTTCCCCCCTCACCCACCCAGCACATTTGCAAGAGTCATTAGCAACTAGTCCACTCCAGGCCATGCCTGCTACAGCTACCTTGAGATGTCCCTCCTGTTTAAGTAGTGTCTGCCGGGGGGACTCAACATGGCCCATCCCCATCCCCACTCGAGATGTAGAAATCCGTGGCCTCTTGTAGAAAACCCCCTTTATAAAAATAAAACCACAGAGTAACACCCCGCGCTGCAGCTGCTTGGACTGGGGGAGCTAGCTGAGCAGCCTCCTGCAGAATCCGAGCTGCTGGTGGGAGGCACCCAGAGCTGGGGGCTTGTTCTC